ACAGCAATTTTGAGGACAGAAAGGTTTTTGTATGCTGTGTCCTCTGATTAGGATTGTTTCAAAATGCACAGTATGCAAGGGCTGAAAGATTGAACTTTCCACAGTACAAAGCGTTCAATGGTTAAAAACTCCTGCCTCCTGAAAACCACTCTAATCTAACAAAAGCAGGTAAAAAGGATTCCATGAAAGTGTTGAACATTTCCTATTTTTTATTCCATTTCCATACATAATGGGTGTAACATGCAGGTACTTTATTTGCTCTCCTTTAAACAGAGCTGCCTTGCTTTTATTTATTCTGTCATTTATTACTGGACTTTTTAACCTGCATTGTGCTCTGACACTCAGAAATTTCCACTGAAAAGGTGGTAATAGAGGAATTGAATTAGCTTCACTGTATGGATAAATAAAGTGTCTTAAAAGCACGGTAAGAGAAGAAGAACATTAATTTTGTTAAAATTAACAATGAATCTGTAGAAAAAAGGAAGAACAATGATGGTAAGATGCAGAGAAAAACAGATGAATGAAACTTGTTTCTAAAGTAATATACTATATCATATGAACAGGAGTTGATTTTACAAATGTGGAGTAATTCAACTTGATATTGTCTAAGGTATAGCAATTTAATCAAAACCAAAACATAAATGGATTTAAATTATGATAGCTAACTCTATAGTAATTTCAAAGGTTGAGAAATGCAGTTTTCTTTCTTCAACAGTTTAACAATGTAATACCTTGGCTAACTTCAAGTAATTCTTCCATTTAGCAATTATTTTTTTTTCTGCAATTATTTTTTTAGCAATTATTTTTCTTTTTCTGTTGTCATGGTAGACACAAACAACATGCATAAACAAGCAAACAAAACTACCCCTCATGACCTTATAAACCTATAATTATACTGGATAGTTAAAGCAGGATCAGGCAGCTGTATCTTCAAAAAAGGACCACTAATTATTTTATCATTGTTGCTATTATTACTGTTGCTATTTTTGCATCTGGTACTGTTTTAGCTGACTTCTGCCAGTACAATAGGAGATACCAGTAACTACACCTGTTTGCAACTTGAGCTCAGGCTTGCAGTCTGCTGAGTCATACTGATGGATCTGTGCAAAGCCAGTACCTTGGTGCTGAACTCCAAATATTTGCTTACTACCTGCAAAGAGAAGCTTCTTTATTTTAGGAAAGTGGAAGTGCAGGGAAAGTGATGTAAAAAACCCATGTGTGTTTTTCCAATACTAGCACCAATAGAAAGGGAAGAAAATTGTCTAAGCAACAGCCCTGGGCTGAGAGCACAGAAGTTTAATGCAATCAAGAAAAACAGATTATAGGCAATGAGGTAATCTCAGCATGTATTTATTTCTGCTCCTACGGAGAGGTGGGAGGGGGAAGGGAGCGGTACTGCAGAGGTACAGGAAAGGATGTAAAATATTGGGATTGCATGGCATTACTAACAAGACTTGCGAGCCCAGCATAACTCACAGAGCACTGGTTGTGTAGTACAATATTTTGGGAACCTTAGGAAGTATCTCTTTGTGTTGGTAGCTAAGGTAGAAGCATAGAAGTGCTGGTTCACATACTTTCTGGCCGGAATTCTTTGTTACTTTTAAGGATAACTCTTAGCCATGTTGCAATGGAGCTCAGTTGCTGTTCTGCAGAAGAAAAAGTGAAAAGCTTAAAAAATGCCAGCAGGCACTTTAATTGCATGCGTTGCATTGCCCGTCAATGCTTATGCCCTTGAAATTACCTAAGTGATACTCCTTTTCTTTCATTTTGAACTGCACTCTTTTACTGTACACTTTGCTGAGCACTGTGTATAACCAAGCTATAACATCTGGCATGTGCTGAACTTTCCCTCCTTTTGGTCCAGCATCGAGTATTCAACTGCTTTTGGAGGAAATGTCCCGCAGGAGTAGCCGGAAAGTAGACACTGATGAATAAACACTTCCTGAGATTCTGTGAAAACAGCATTGTTCCAAGGTCTTTCTTGCTTGTAACCTACTCCAAACACATATTCTTGCCAAACATCTCACAACTCTTATCCTCTAATGCTTACTTCACCTTAATAGATTGTTAGCAGAAAAGCGACAGAAACATACACTGGTGATTCTTTAGGTAAAGCTAAGGTTAAGTCCTCAGGAATAAGTTCATTTTCACAGTATTTACAGTGCTAACTATAGCAGGAACTCATTCTGTTACATTTTCTGAGCCTGGATACCCCTCAGCTCTGTCTATAGACCTGGTCTGGAAGCTGCCCCTAAGCTCTGCAGCTTTCAGTGTTTATATTCAAATTTGCCAAATTTATTGCAATGACTTTTTAACTCACAGAATAAGCAATAGTACATACACATTGAAAAGAAAAACATACATATTTGCATGTTTACTTTATTCCTAGTTCTTGGAATCTACTGAGTAAATAATATATAAAATATATTGTCCAAAATGTACATATCCTTTTTCTTATATATGTGTCAACATAATCCAAGTTTACAAGTCAGATCTATTGTATAACTTGTGATTATTAAAACACTATCCTTTAACTTTTTTTGTTGTTATTTTGGGAAGACTTATGTGCTCAAAATTACATAAACAGCAATGGAAACTGAAAAGCAACAGCAAAATAGGATTATTATTTAGGCCTCAATTCTGCAAATACATTTTGATGCTAAATATAATTTTAAAAACCCACCTCAGTCATTCTACTGGATTTATAGGCGCAGTGCCTAGAGCTACACAACACTGAAGTGTGCCGTCTAAGGACATACACCTCACACACCCGAAATCTCAAGACATGACAGTTTGTGATACCAACATGACAATATGACTGAGTTTACTGACATATGTATGTAAACTATTGTACAGTTAAGTTGGTTAGTTTTTGCACTAAATGTTTTAATTCCTTTCAAATTATTGTATCTTTAAGAACTTCCTTTTGTTTGTTTGTTTTAAACGTTCTCAGATGTACAGCTTTACTCCTGAGAGCCAAACTTAGCAAACATTACAAAATGCCAGAACAAGCCCAGTGCCAAAATAAAAAGCAAGGAAGAAAACATAACTGTTTATATATATATTTAAATTTTGTCCAGTGTTCTTTTTATACTTTATAAAAGAAGTTGAGAGCAAGGAAGAAAGGGAGCGTTTCTTTTCATTTTCTGGAAACACTGGGGAAGAGATACAGGATAGGAAAGAAAGAAATGGTCAGGGCAAGGGAAAAAGCTTTGTGTGAGGATGTGAAGAAGGCAGGCTGGTGCCCTCACCAGTCTTTTATATAGCAGGGCATCCTCTTACTGGTCAGAGCAATTTTTGTAGAGTAATAACCTGACTGTATCTCCTGCCTCCTGACCTGGATGAAAAGAGAGGGGCTCTAAAAAAAAAAGTGAGTGAAAAAGAGCAGGGGAGCAGGGAAGTGTTGCCTGGACTGTTCCCTCCATCACAGTGCCTGGTTTATGGATGCACACTTCTATTCCTCTGTTAATTTACCTCATGCAGATGTCTCTTGTGGCTCTTCCTTCTAATGCTGAAGCAGTAAAGAAGTAAGTTTGTGGGTGATTGTTAGCTGTGAACATTTTGGGGGCCAGTGAAGTGAGGACACAGCTGAGGCGGTGGGTTGGGGCCTGGCAGTGGCTGAGCAGGTTTTGCTTCAGCTGGAGTCGGAGCAAAGCTGCTCTCAGCCCCAGCCGCCGCTCCCTGCGACTGCTGTGTTTGTTAATAAGGAGACAAGTGAGGAGAGCTAAAAAGGGAAAAAAGCAAGAGTCTTGAGGGAACTCTCAGCAACAGTAGCACACAGCCTGCTCCAATGTATTGCTCATATGTTAAAAGAAAAGGGAGAGAGCTGCCATCCGGCCAGCCACGGGGCCGCGTTTTTGTGTGTTAGGGATCGACCCAAACACGTCCACCGCTGCAGGCTGTGTTGCCGTGGGAGGCTGCTCAGCCGGGGTCACCGTGCCGGGAACTCGCTGCCCTGCAGCACACTGCTCGCGGCTGCGGGCTGCTCTCGGGAGCGCACCCTCCAGGGAGTGTCCCCCTCCGAAAACACTTGTTTACTTCCCATTTCGTCCAGCAACTTTGAGATAGGAAGCATCAGACCTGCCGCTGGAAGGACGGGAGGAGGGAGAGGCTGTGCAGCAGGGCAGGGGCTGGAAAACAAAAGCGGTGACGGATGGGACCGGTGGCACCTGTCCTTGTCTCCCCCGCTACTCAGACATGACTGGGTCCACAGTGACTGCAGCCCCCGCACTCGGCACGGAAACACCCCGAGCTGCGCACACACTAGAGCAGGAGTGGCACAGGGAAACCCTCCGCTTTCCCCACCGCGCTGCACCGGCAGCAGCGGTGCCCCGGAGCTGGCGTGACAGGAGGGGATGCCCCTCCATGCCTTGTCTGACTGTCGGGGTACTCCGCGCACCCACGCTGAGCCAGCGCTGCACATAGGCAGGGGATCAGGGCTGGCACCCCGTGCAGACGGCGAGCCGGGCGACGGGCGAGCCCCCTGCGTTCGCGCACACACTCGGTACCCCCCGCACTGTGCCTCCGTCCCCGCCGGGTCGGCGGGAGCGGTACCCCGAGCGCACACGCCCCGGCGCCCGGCGCTCCTCGGGGTCCGCCGCCGGGTGCATCGCACCGCTCACCCGGGCGAACCCCGGCGCCCCTCCGCTCCGCTCCCGGGGCCGAGCGGCACCGCAGCGGGGGAGCGGCGGCGGCGGCACCGCGGCCGGAGGGCAACAGGCGGGCGGGAGGCGTCAGGCGACAACTTCGCGCAGCGCCGCCGAGCAAGTTGCGCTGCCGCGCAGGACGCGCCCGCCTCCGCACCCCGCCCGCGAGGCCGCTGCGCGCCCGCGCTCGGCGGGAGTGAGGGAGGGAGGGAGGGAGGGAGGGAGTGAGTGAGTGAGTAGTGCGGATGTGAGTGCGGGGGCGAGCGGCACCTGCCGGGGCCAGCGGGGCCGTCGCGGTGCGGGTGCGGTGCCGGAGCCGAGCGCTGGGCGGTGGCGAAGCCGGGCGGCTGCAGCGGGCGCGGAGCGGGCTGGGCTCGGGCTGGGTCCGCGCCCGGCGCCGCCGCCGCCGCCGCTGCGCCCTCCCGGCTGCGAGTCCGCCCGGCTCCGGATCACGTGGCGGTTGCCGGAGGCAGAGACTAGAGAGGAGAGAAAAAAAAAGCGCCTCATTCCTTCTTCCACCGCCATACTGTATTTTATAGTAACTCTCATTTTTATTCCTCCCTTTTACTCCCGCTCGGTGAGTACCTTTCCGCTGACATTCTTGTCCTCCTTTTTTTGTCCTGTTTTTTTTCTTCCTTTTGTTTTTTTTTGGTTTTTTTTTTGTTTTCTGTTTTTTCTTCTTTTTTTTTTTTTTTTCCTTTTTGATTATTGTTTAAATGGATTTGATCTTTTGCTGATGACAAGTTTTTTTCCTAGCATGCGATGGTTACTAAACTGTGAGCAAAAGGTGCTGCTGGGGCCGGGAGTCACTGGGAATGAAAAATTATAATATTAATTATACAGACTTGCCAGTCCAGCAACAACTGATATACATTTAGTAGCTATATATCTATATATGCAACTGGTTTTGTTGTGGCACGGAAAAACCATGTGAAATATGATGCTTATTTTTTTAAGATAAGAGAAAAGGCATTTTTAACTCTTTTTGCAGAAGATGTTCTCTGGTGTTGTTTTATTTTTATTTTTAGGTGTTTTTTAAGGTGTTTTTTTTTTTTTTTTTTTTCCATAAAGAGATGGGAGTTGCAAGTGCATTTTGCAGCAGTGTTTACACAGAGTTTGTAATCTTGCAATACTGGTGGAAGCCACAGAGCAAGATAATAATTTTATTATTTTTGTTACTGTTTCTTTTTTTGTATTTCCTTTTTGACAGTGCAATCAGCAGGGTTTTTGTTTTTCCTCTTTTTCAGTTTTTGATACCTATTTATAATGTGAAACTTTTCTTGCAGTGTGTTGCAGTTATCATTTTTAAATACTTTTTTTCTCCTTAAAGACAACAAAGCAAAACAGAAAGCCAAAGAGATGATCGTTACTTTTGCACATTTTGCACCTTGACTTTTTTATTCTTTTGCCAGCAGTGTTTTAAGATGGTTGTTGTTATCATGATGATGATGATAATGATAGATATATACATATATACAAATAAATACATTTTCAAATGATGGCAGTGGAAGGTTTTCCTGGAGAATGAAGTGCGGTTTGGTTTCCTTGTCAACGGAAGATGAAGTGAACAACTGAACATCTCCCCAGTGCAGGTACTTCATCTCCTTGTAGGCGTTTCCACGCTGTGTAAATTACATTGTGAGGTTTGTTTTTTTTTTTTAAAGAAATCTCCTTCCACCCCTTTCTAAAGGTATCTGTGCAGTACACATGAGGACTGGACTAAATATCTGTGCCTTGTGATTGCTTGCATGTGTGCAAAATGTTGCACTAATTGAGCCTGGGTCGGTTAGGCTGAAGAGAGGTGTTTTATGTGCTGTGCTGTGCTGTATAGATGAGAAAGCAGCTGGGCAAAAAAATCCAGACATCCCCCCTCTCCTCCTTACCATTTAAAAAAACCCAAACCAAAACAAAACCAAAAACCAAACAACCAACCAAACAAAAAAAGGCAAAACAACCAAAAGTAAAGCCCAAACCGAACATGGGTGGAACCTGGAGATCCTCATTATGAGTGCAAATACTTACAGGACTATAGACAAAAACAAAAGCCCTGGCCCTGTGTTTGTGTGTGTCTGTTTAAAAATTATCCATTAGAAAAATAGCTGTGAAACAGCAAAGGAGGCTCCCTCGGAAAGCTGGCTCACTGCCACATGAGGCATATTTTGTTGCCCCTAGGGCAGCAAAACCCTTATATCCAACTTCTGCTCCTCATATTAAAAAGGTGTAAACAAGGCAGCAAGTTGCCTCTTATGAATTTAATTCATTGGGATGGAGATTAGTCAGAAGCTGATATTTGCTTGAAGGTGTTTCCTTTTATTTTGGTGATTAATAATGCCACTGGCTGATAGGGAGTCAGAAACTGTTACTTTCTGTGATGGTACTGAGAGTTCAGATTGGAGGAGAAACTGTTACTTCTGTTTGAGAGCACCTAAATGGTTAACGGGGACCACCCCGATGTACAAACAGGATATTGGTTCTCTAAAGTACAATTTGGAAAGGTTTTTCCAGCTGACAGGGTGGTTTTTGTTCTTTGGTTTTTTGGTGTGGTTTTTTTTTTTTTTTTTTTTTTTTTTTTTTTTTTTTTTTTTTTTTTTTCTCCCCAGAAAGAAATATGGTGCAATATTATGCTGAAGTTGAAGTACAGAATGTTCGGCGGCGTTCTCTGTTGCTTACTTTATTGTGATGGGATTGCTTAATGTATTTTATAGAAACAGCTTTTAGGGATCTGTAACTGACTGTAAAGATATACTGTGTATTCAGATGTGGAAACTAAAGTAAGTTACAGGGGATGTATTTCTTTTGTCGCTGTTGTATAAGCAAATATAATTCACAGAATTACAAATGCATTCGGAAGTTTGAATCTTCTAATGCTTATATTTACATTCTTGAAACTTAACAGCTTCCTTTAAAGTAGAAAGTGTATATAAGAAGTGTATATATCATGCAATTAGTAGTGTTGAAAAATAAATAAATTCACTTATCTTTGTAGAAACATAGCTATTATGTATTTACAGTGGCTTTTTCCAGTTTAAATGTAATACAAATATTTAGCACATATTTATGCATGACTTCTGCTCTGACATGATGAAATACTTTTGGCAATATAACAGGGTCAATAATTCATGTGTCTAAAAACCAGTTGAGATATTTGCATGATAGATTATGATGACTTCTCCAAAATAGTTATGAACTGTTGGGTCAATACTCCATATTTTAAGAAGACTCAACCTGCTTATTTTTTTATGATTTAATTTGAAAGCAAGCCATTAAAAACAAGAGTGACTGAAACTTATATCTCCACCTCTCTTTTTATTTTCATCCCTCCCTATTTTTAAATTAAGTTTTTTCTTTAAATTATGTGGAACTCCTGGTTAGCAAAATATTTTTGATACTGCTAGACCACTGAAATAAAGTAACAAGGCTAGCAATTTCCAGAAAGATGTTCCTTTTGTCCTTTCTTTTAATATTGCAGGTGTGTTGTGTAATTTTGTACAGATAGTTGCTGACTGAAGATCTAATCCTGCTCACCTAGTCTTATCTTGAAGTCTGAGAAAGAAAGTTTTAGGAATGCACTATTTTTAGCACCCAGATTTCATCCACAAAGCACCTGTTGTCTGAGTAGCATGGTAATTAATATACATTCATTTCATTTGCAGCAGTCTGAGATTGTACAAGTTCTTATATATCAAACAACCTAGGGATTTTAAAGTAGGCATAAATGAGCTAATTTTGAAAAAGGATACTTCTACCTCCTGCAGTATGTGGGCACGCTAGGTTTTGTAGTGGTGGAATTGGTTCTGGCTTGGTGCTTCCATAGTTATGCTATGACTAATGATGTTGAAGGCATGTTTTAAAAAGCCATAGTTAATGTCAAAGACAACTGTCCTTTTGAGATAAATAAAAATTTTGCCTACAAACTGCAACTTAGTTTCTACAAGTGATGATATAATTACATTTCTGTCTTTAGTATGAGATATACTTGTACTGCCTTTATTTCTGAAAGTGATGACTGTCCAGTCTTAAATAACATCTATTTTTCTTTACATCTGTTTTGATATTCAGGAAAGCATAGGAATTTAAGATATCTTTATAAAGGGTTATAAACTGAAAGCTTTGAAAAATAATTTTTCTTTTCTTATTCCATAACTAGCTACTCTTAACAGTACTTAGTTGCAAATAAAAATGAACAGGTGAACAGAAGTTGAAAACTGTATAGTGCACAGTGTGCTGACTCATGAATACATGTTTTTAGCTCCTGTAGTGGCCTGAACTGGCAACAGAAGCATATCTTCTCACGTTTTTCTAGAGAGAGGACTGGAGTGGCCTATGGAGTCATCAAGTCTGTTTGCTGTGATGTTAATCTGGTCTTTTTATTTTATTCAGATTCAGCAAGCTCCAGTTTAAATTTAGCTGGTGTATTACTCTTACTGCACCTCTTGAAGGCTGGACAGAGCCTCACTCAGGATGTTAAAAACATTGTTCCTGTCCTAAATTTGTTTTCAGACAGTTTATTCTCCTTTATTTTATGTGCCAGTGCTGACCTTGAACAGTGAGGCTCTTTCTTCACATCTTTGCTCTTCAGAGTATATTTCTAGAGAGCAATTGCAGCCTGCTTTCACTCATGTTTTCTGAGCTCACTGGGAGGGATTCCCGGCAGCATGGCTGGCTCTGGGAGGGGATGTAGAGATTGGCTCTCCCCGAAGTCATGCTGCAGAAGAAACAGAGCAGCTGCATTTGACTTCTCTTCTGCCCCACCTGGTTTGTTCTGCTTTCAGCTGCAAACATGGGGGTCCAATTGCTGGCTCTCACATCAGCCTGAACGGTTCCACCTGGAGCCGCACATGTGGACATGCCTTCTTCTGGTGAAATACGTTTTGTGCCACGTAGACCTTCCCTTCACTCTGCCTAATCAACCTGAATTTCTTTGGTTAGAATGTAGCAGCAGAGGACTCTTGGGAATTTCTTCTGCAATGCTCTGATTTGTAAACTCTCAAGAGTCTTCTACGTATTGTTTTAGTATTTTGTATTCATACTAGCCAAGGGAATGTGAATGGGCTGAAGGCAATGCTGTATCAGGGACTGTCTTCTATCAGGAATAAATGTGAAAGTTGGATACAGTGTTTTTTAAATATAATTTCCTTATTAGTTTCTTCGTAGATCGCTTATGTCTTAGCTCTGTAATCTTCTAAAGCATTTTTCTATGAGGAGTTTGTTTCTCTTTTACAGTGCAATTTTTCCTATTTTCTTCCTTCCCTACATTTCGAGTTTTGAAAGATAAAAAAGCTTAATAGTGCTTAAAGTGTGGGATTATAAAGATTAATAGATCTCCCCTCAGATGAACATTTTAACTTCCCTTGGTCTTAGAGGATGTAGTGCTCTGTCAAATTCTGGAGCCCAATCCTGTGTTTTAAGTACTTAAATATCTGAATACAAGGCTAAAGATGAATATTTCCTGATGAAAAATCATGTAATCTGTGACACACTGTGCGTAGTCATCCAGTTTGTAGCTCCCTTAAACTCATATCCAGACTGACAGAAGAAAATAAAATGCTAATCATAAGTGATATGAACATTTTCATCTTTGTTAAGGTACCAATTTTATTTTATGATCTTTGAACAATTACTGGAGTAAAATGGCTGGTAGATTATTGTTTTGCACATACATAGATTGGAATAATTTGTACCTTTTTTCCCTCTCTCTTTTCTCTTTTCTATTTCAAAATGACACTCTAATCTCTACAATGTATTTAATTCTTCAAAAGCATTTATACTTCAGCTTTGGGAGTATTTTCTGAGAAAGTTTATTTTTGCACAATGAAGTGTGATTTCCCATCTCTTTGAATCATCTGCCAACAATTAAGAAAATAGTTAAGTAGGCCTTCAAATTGCTAAATAAATCTCAGGTTGCTTAGTGTGAATACAATTACTGTGTTTTTATCATTATGGTGTTCTGGAATAAAAATGTAGATAGGGAGATGAATAGATAGAATCACGGAGATAGATATTTTTAGAGAGGTTTTTAGTGTGATAGAGAATTACCAGAAATCTTACATTAATTAATTATCCTTCAGAACTTAATCAACACTTTTGTTTAATAACTAAGAGTTTAACTTTCTCAGTTGTAAACTTATACAGACCAATATTATCTACTGCCACTACACAAAAGCTATAGAATTAATAAATTGCCTCTCTGGTACATCCCTGTGTGTCTCCTGGCTCCTTGTGTGTTGGCTGACCTGCCAGGATGTCAGGGCTCAACCATTCTGCAATTGCATTTCAGTTTCAGGAACAAAGTTGCTTTTTTTTTCTCTGATGTAGTTCCTTCATGGTTATGGTAATAAGCATAATAATTTCTACTCTGACATGAATAGTAGAGGTTTGAAGAAGCAAAGATGGATTTTGTACGAGTGGTGACCAACAGTGGTTATGAACATGAACATGGTGGAATATGAATGACACTCCTAAGCCTCTTTATTTTTCCTTTGCACACTTACGAGTCTTTCTCCTAAAATACCCAAAGGTCTGATTAAACTTGACTTACATCAGTGGTCCTTCCCAGGTGGCCCTCTCCTGCTGTCAGTGATTATTGCCTCTA